TAGTAGTAGTAGTAGTATGTAGTAGTATGTAGTAGTAGTAGTAGTAGTAGTAGTAGTAGTAGTAGTAGTAGCAGTAGTAGCAGTAGTAGTAGTAGTAGTAGTAGTAGTAGTAGTGGTAGTAGTAGTAAGAGTCATGGCAGCATCATCAGCTGTGTTCCGGTGGTGTGTTCATCATGAAAACATCATCACTTTCGCCTTTGCCTCGCCTTGTCCCCCTCTCCGCCGCTCTCTCCCCTGGTTGCGAAATCAGGTAACGTCGGGAATTCCATTCAAGTAACCCAGGTCTGGACTCCCTAAACCATGATTCTCCACCTGCATCTTGCATCCTGAACTAAAGGCCCTCTGCCTTGGCCTAAACTGTCTAAAATCACGAGAACCCACAGCCAACCGTCTGATCATCTCCGACACTTCGATGCAACATGGTCCACCCTGAACCCTTACGTGCCGGGGCTCCTGGTACAGGCCCGGAGTGATACTGCTTTGGTCCAGGTCGCCTGTGCTCAGCGACAACTTTCTCGACCATTGTCTTCGTGATTCTTTGGTTTCTGGTGAAAGGATGACCCATTGATCTGCAAGGCGATTTTATGATTCGCGCCGTTGCAAAACCAGTGTGCGGGTAATTCAAAACTTACATCAACAAGGCCTTCGGATGTAGGACGCTTTCCGAAATTGGCAGAGCTGGCATTGTAGCATGATATTGAATCGGCATCGCTTGAAGTTGCTGTCGCGGGTCACGATGCACGTGCCGTCGTAACTTCAGCATGCCAGTCAGTCATGCGAAGTACAAGTCCCAGCTTAAACGATTCCGTGTCAAACCCTGACAGTCCTGTGACCCAATCCACCAGTAGCAAGTGAGGAGGTCGTCACCGTTTCTGGAATCGTCTCAACAATGGCACCGGTGTGTCCACAGGTCTTCCACAAAGCCGAGAGGCAGGTGAAGAAGACGAGGTTGCCTGGCAAGGTCGGACATTGAGCGGAGAGTTGCTACCTGTTGCCTGGAACCCATGTCCTCCTCTCTGTCACACTCCGCAACTCATGGAGCATCAGTCCAGCAGCAATAGTCCACCGGAGCTCCGAGAATTGTCGAACCCCTTAGGTGTTCAGTTCAAAGTCGATAGTCAGACGAGAGCACCTCCGTCGCAGAGAGTCAGATAGCCGTGAGGCTGTCTGAAGATTAGGGGATCCTCATACTGCCTATAATCCAATATACAAGCGGAAGCAGCATGCAACAGCAAGCAATATCTAAATGGTTGCAGCCGTCGCTGCAGTAGTAGCAGCACTAGTCGTAGTTATCGTCGTAGTAGCAGTAGTAGCAGGAGCCGGCGTAGCAGTAGGAGCAGTTAGCGCAGCAGTAGCAGTAGCAGTGGCAGTGGCAGTGGCAGTGGCAGCAGGAGCAGTGGTTGTTTTTTTGATCGACCAAACCCTGGAACTCCTGAGTCCTGCCTGCTTCCTGCGATGCGTCGGTGCAGCCGACTTGCTTGTAGGCATCCTGACCAGACCTTTCAGTAAGAGGGTTGTTTAATCAGGCTCATCACCATCTGATTCGGGACTTCCAGTGGGATGGTTTAGCAAGCATCAAGAAAGCCACAAGTTAAGAGATTCCGCTCCTTACTGCCAGTCCTGGTGCCTCGTGCGATCCATTGCGAACTTAGGTTAAGAGCTTTCGGTATCCAAAGCCTTCAAGCCTCTCGCCCGACAGCAGCCCTGAGTCTCTTTCGGCCCCTTTAAACCAAACTGCAAAAACTCCTACATATATAGAAACCTACCATGGGGCTTTCAGCTAGGGGGCAGTATGGCCGCCTGTTCGCACACATCCCGCTTCTCATTCCAACCCAGCAAAATGCAGCCACCAATCCTTGGCCGAGGTCTCAAGTTGGAGGTAGAGCTCTGGGTTTGGCAAGGGGGTGGGGTTTAGGGTTTAGGGTTTAACCATTAGAATGTAGCTGCAATGTAGCTGTGTTCATGAACTGGTAATCAGGCCCCTGTTTCTATTTACAGGGCTTAGGGTTTAGGATTTCTGGCTTCCCGGTTGCTCACCCCCGTCACCCCATATATATATATATATGGTAACCCC